TCAAACACAATTCCTCTTTCAGTGAATTGATGCCCAGTTCTATGCAAGCTCTTTTACTTTGTCAATGTATTGCACTTAATTAAATACTTTAAATCTGGGAGGGGGAGGGAGAGAGGAAGAGAGGGAGGTAACTGAATTTATTTTTGAAACATTTATATTTTTCAGTCAGCTCAACAATAAATGCATTTCCCATTCTCAAGAGAAGTTTCCATTACTGACCTGCAGAGACAGCTGCAAATATACTTAGTAATTTTAAGTAATAAACATCATAATTTGGTTTTTGATCTCCACAACAATAGTCAAAATATGTAGTCAAACTAATTTCCCTCCAAACATTTTAAAAACAATAACTTGAGAAGTAATTTTGTTTTTTTCCCCCCTCTTCATTTTATTAAACTCTAAAAGTTATGCAACACTAAAAGTGTGTGTGTTTATGTCTGCATACGCAGAAGATGGGTGCAGAAGATGGGTGAATCATTTCACTGAGTTAAGAGGACAGGAGTAGGACAGAGGAGACTTCTGTCCACCTGGGATTATCTGATAAATAACTAATTGGGGGGCAAAGGAGACTGCAGAAGTCAATAGATAAGGTTTAATCCTTTACTGTGTCTGTATTTTGTCTGCTAAACTTTTTCTTAAGTATATAATCTTTGGTAAATTAAAGTATATTTCCATCTTAAACTTAAAGCATTTCAGTTAGCTAAAGGAATAAATATGGAAGAAATAAAGGAATAAATATGGAAGAAATAAAGGAAGAAATATGGAAGAAATAAAGGAATAAATATGAAAATAAATCATTAAAAATGAAAAGAAGGACTAGAGGTGACATGATAGCAGTGTTGGTGTTCTGTATTAACATACTCCAAACCCTTAAATCTGATTGGCCCTCACAGGCCGCAACCGGATTGGTCGACTAATCGGCCGTGATTGGTGCGCTTAGAATCTACCGCGATTGGTCTAGCCGATCGCGGGAGATTCGAAGCGCTGTCATTGGCCGCCGCGCCGCGTACAGCTCCTATATGAAGGGCAGCTGCGAGCACAGGTCCTGGACTGAACTGTATACTCAATAAAGAGCTGAATGTCACTTTTGAGTCTCGCGTCTCTGTCCGAACCGACCTACCCGGGACCGATCTACCTGGGACCGATCTCCCAGACATAACAGTTCCAATATCTAAGGGGTTGCCACAAAGAAGACGGAGTCAACCTATTCTCCAAAGCACCTGAAGGCAGGACAAGAAGCAATGGATGGAAACTAATCAAGGAGAGAACTAACCTTAGAATTAAGGATAAATTTCCTGACAGAATTATTAATCAGTGGAATGGACGGGCGGTAGTGAATGGGCTGCGGTGGCAGCAGAGAATGGGCGGTGGCAGTGGTGAAAGGGCCATGGTGAATGGCTGTGGCGAACAGGCCACAGTGATCCCCGCTGCCTAGAACAGCTGATCGGCGGTATTCCAAGAGGCAAATCCAATCACCAATCAGCTGCTTGGCAGCAAAGTCTCCAGCGTTCCCTGGCAGCAGCAGCAGCTCAGCTCAGCTGACTGGTGGTGGTCTCCATGGAATGGAGCCCTGACAAGCCATATGCTGGGGCTGCGATAATGTGCTGAAGCTGACCAGGCTGTTTGCTGTTTGCTGCAAGGACGCTAGTCAGATGAATACCAGTGGACGCTGGGAGGCAGAAGCAGATTTTTTTCTTGTTTTCCTCCTCTAAAGCTATGTGCATCTTATAGTCTAGTGTCTTATAGTCCAAAAAATACGGTAAATGCTTAATTTAAGAGATATGTCTTCCCTAAAGGTAGAGTGAGTATGGAGTATCATAGAGAATGCATTACCAGAGAGACTCAGGATAAGTTTCGTTGGATGAGGTTCTGTGACAGTGGACATCTTTAAGGGCCTGCCTCTTATGCAAATCTCCTTTCCTGAGATCACTAACAGGAGTGGTGATTCTTCAAACAATGAGATCCAAGCTATTTAAGGCTTCAGAGGTCAGACCAATACTTTATGATGCTCAAACAGCATTTGGCAAGCTGTTAAATGTCTAGAACTCATTAGAAGCTTAGACTTTGCACTAGGTGAAACTTCCAAACACTTTCAAGGCAAGAAATACGACTTCAGCAATAGAGTGGTCAATGTCTGGAATACTCTACCCGACTCTGTAGTCTCTTCCCCAAACCCCAAAAACTTTAACCTTAGACTGTCTACTATTGACCTCACCCCTTTCCTAAGAGGTCTGTAGGGGGCGTGCATAAGCGCACCATCGTGCCTACCGTCCCTGTCCTATTGTTTCTCTTATTCTTTTATTTTTCTTATATGTACCCATTTCATGTATTCACAACTATGTATACACTTATACTTATTATCTTGTAAACAATTGGCAAATCAAATAAATAAATAAAAATAAAATAAATAAGATTCAACTCAACATGAACAACTATTGTTAAATCCATTTGCCTTGATATACTAGGATTAGTTGTGGAAATAATCCTCCTTGTCACAACCACCACTGTTACTGCTAAAATTTTGCAAAAATATTGATGACCATTAGATAGTAGCATTCTTTGACATCTAATAGTGCGTCTGGAGGTTAGGTAAGCCCATCAAATGTTTGTCTTTTTTATTATTTAAGTTGTGTTTGTTTTTGGCCATCATTACTATTTTAACTTTTGTTGCACAGGTTTAATTTTATCCCTATGTGTGCTGCACAGAGTCACAATAGGCAGCTATGTAAATGGTTTTGATTTAATTAATTAATGTTTTTTTCACATGTTTATAGAGGATGGTATTTAGCAAAAAAGAAGTAAAAAGAAGTCATTTAGTAAATGACTTACTCTATGGTACTTATACTGTATATTCATTTCATTGGATGGGGCTGAAAGTGGTTAATAAATTAAAATAATGTGATTCAAACACGAAGATTAAACACATATAAATAACTCATTTCTTCTTTATAAACAATATAACAGTATTTAAAATTGTATGTTTAATGCATTTTTTTAGAGCTTGGTTATTTTGGAAAGACAGTTTATTGAAACAAAGAAATGCACAGGATCTCAGGATTATGCAAAGTTGTTCTTTCCTTGAGTCATAAATCTTTGCAGTTTAGGGTAGAAATAATCTTCAGATTTGTCTTATTGGAGCTAGAATTCCCCAGCTAGCATGCTGGCTGGAGAATTATGGGAGTTGAAGTTCAGAGATTTAAAATTATTAAGGTTAAGAAACACTAGTGTACATACAGCTGAAATTTCTTTTAAACCCCGTTTTCCCATTCAATTTTGTTGCTTATTTCTATGTATATACATATAGTACAATACATACAGTACAGTTATATCCAGCCACTTTAACTATTTTCTTTGCATTTAGGGAGTTCTGATTCCCATTTTTTTAAAATAACGACCACATGATTGAAATAACAAAGAATGGAATAAAATTTACTACATTTTCTTGCAGAAGAGTCATAAGTTCTGGTCAGTTTCTGACATGCAAAACAAAGGTCTGGGCTGGAAATTCTTTAATTTTAAGGGCATGTCTTAGTAGAAAACAGAGTAGATCTCTCTTATGACTCAAGTAAGCTGCCCAAATATGTGCCATCTAAGATGATGGAGGTACCTTTGTCTTCTTGTAAGATGATGGATGTCCCTTTGTCTTCTTGCAAGTTTCCTATATCATTTGAAAATCACCTACACAAGTTAAATCCTATCATCTCTGTTTCTCCATGAGCCAGTACATTTCTGGCTATATTGAGATACACACACACACACAAATTTTCTACAGTATTTGTAGGATGAGTGTTTTGCAGCTTATGAGCACTGTTTTCACTATGAGTGGAACTTGCCTCAACTTTATTCTCTCCCTGTGGTTCTAGTCTAGAGATTCAACTGCCATGAAGCCTTAAAATCTTACATTTCTCCCCTTTATAAATAACAGCTAAATGTGCAAGGAGGAAAATGAACTCGAAATGCAGCCTGCATGAACTGAAGATAGAGGGGAGAACAGAAAATGAATGTCTGTCAGCTGGAAGGAAGAAAGGATTTGCTTGTCTTGTTTTTCATTTGTCTTTAAATTGATTGGTGGCCAAGGTGACAGCATCTTGGCTTCAAACCACTGATCAGGCTTTATTATGAAACCCATCTCAGAAAAAAGTGATTCTGCCTAGTGTACACAGCACTTAATTAAACAAACAATACTTTCAAACAAACAATACTTTGAAAAGTATATTCAAATGCAACACTGTATTGTTGTCAAAGTGCCTCAAGTCTAAGCACTCTTTCTACTATGAGATGCTTTTCCAGATGCTTTTTCTGAAAAAGGATTTCAGCAAATCCACAAAGGAATGGTTTGTGATTATTAAATGATCGTCCTAACCCGAGCCATTTTAAATAATTACAAGCGGCTCATACGTAACAGGGACTCTCAAAACAATCCTAAACGTCCGGCGGAGAACGAAACGGAGTCTCGCTGGCTACATTTGATCGACTCTCGTGTAAATCCAGCCGTGCAGTTCCTCCGGCAAAAAGAAGAAGAAGAAGGAGAAAGAGAAGGAGGAGGAGAAGGAGAAGGAGGAGAAGAAGAACAAGGAGAAGGAGGAGGAGGAGAAGGAGAAGGAGAAGAAGGAGAAGGAGAAGAAGAAGAATGACACGTTTGTCGTTTAGTTTTTTTTGTTTTTGTTTTAATACGCAACCATTCACGAGTAGGCGAGTAAGAAACTTTCGGAGCTCGCATTACAGAACGTGACCATGGGAGCTCGTGGAAGAAGGCGGGAAAAGAGGACGGGGAAATGGGAGGAAGATAAAGGATCCCACGCTTCGGCTCTTTCTTTTATGGCTTGGGGTGGGGGTGGGGGGAGTGTGTGTGTGAGGGGGGGGGAGGAAAGCCCAGGCAAGTCCTCGCCTTGCGATAGGGTAGCTTTTTTCTCAATCGTCTATTGATTGGTCGGTTCCCCATTCTAGCCAGCGCGTCCCCCTCCTCTCTTTCCTTCGCAGCCCCGGCGGGGTTTAAAACTTGTAGCGCGTCCCGCCGCCTCGCCCTTGAGGCGACTGGAAGAAAGCGCGGGATTATGAGGGAGCTGAGTCTGTGGGCGCTGCTGGCGCTGGTGGCGCCGAGGGGCTGCTCTCCTGGCGAGGGGCTCCTCTTCCCTTTCGGCTCGGCTCGGGGCGACGAGGCGTTGGAAGCGGGGGACGATGTCAGCTCCGCGCCTCTCTCGCTCGACACGCCGCTCCACTTCTACGGCTCCAGAGTCCAGTCCCTCTACGTAAGTGCCCGGGAGGCGAAAGGAAAGGGGATCGGGCCGGAGACCTAGCGAGCTGGGAAGAGGGAAGGGAAGGAGGAGCCGCGGCGAGTGGATTCGGGCCAAGGACGAGATCCTGAAGGGCGCGGGGGCGAGGGGTGAGGGGAGGAGGAAGGCAGGGTCCCGGAATGTGATTTCCAAAGAAGGAGCGCGGGAGGATGGAGAAGTGGGGGAAAGGGAGAAGAGGAGTTGCTGTCACTGCGGGTGGAAGAGGCTGCTGCTGCTGCTGCTCGGGCCGCCAGCCAAGGAGGAGGAAGTTTACTCTGATAAGCGGCTGCTTCATCCCTAAAAGGGAGAGAGGATGGCTGGCTTTGGTGAAGGCATCAGCCTAGAAACCAGGAATCGTGAGTTCTTGTCCCGTTTTAGTCCCGAAGCCAACTGGGTGACCCAGGACCAGTCACTTTCTCAAGCAGATAATCTCCACTTCTGGGACGGGGTGTGTGTGTGTGTGTTGGGGGTGTTGGAGAAACCTTCCCCAGAAAACGGCAGGGGCAAGTCCAAGAGGTTTCCAGGAGTCCAAAAAAACAAAAACAAAAAACAAAACAAAACAAAACCCTGACTTGAAATGGAAAGTCTGGGAAATTGAAATCTTCCATGTTGATCGTCCATAAAGCTAGATAGATGTCTATCTCGACTCAAGAGAGACCTTTCCTTTGCTTGTTCTTTCAGTTTCTCTTGTCCCTATTGCAGAGGCATGACTGCAGTTGAGTTGCGTCTTGGGCAAGGCGTTCTCGCCTATGTTCAAGGCAATGTTATCCTTCCCTCTGAATTGATTGTAATTCTACATGAGTCCATGTAGCTTGCAGTGTAAGTCTCATAATTAAAAAAAACGATTGACCAGGTCAAAACCCGGAATATGGATTTGTAAATAAGCATCCCTAATTAAAAAAAAGAAAGAAAGAAACTCCTTGTGTTCTTTGTAGCTATCCTCCATCAGGCTATTCTAAACCGAATGATGTCCCTTGAATTTCTGCGAACCTGGAGTGATCTGATATAAGTGGAACCTTTTTCAATAAAATGTCAATGCTGGAGAAATGGCATGGGATATTGGAAGGAGAAATTATGCAGGAGGAAAGCAAGGAGATGTTTTGGGTGCGGTGAGAAGAATTTGTTCAGAGTTGTATTGGCAATTAGGATAGACTTTTGCTAATTCCAAGCAAAATAGAAAGCAGATGTCCTTTGTTTCCCCCTCCCCCCAAATTTTTTTTACAATTTTAACTAGAAAAGGCATTGTTACTATCATTTCAGCAGTTGAATGCACCAAAGTTGCAGGTCATGCAAATAAAATAATATTCATGCATGTCAGCACAAAAAAGCAGACCCTGTTCTGTTATAAATATTTACATTCCTTTCTTAGTACTGTTCAAGCCACAGACCTAATCCATGATTATTCTTTCATGCTGAATACTGGTTTGATCTGATTTGATCTTGATTTTTCTCAGCATGGAAGGGATTGCAACAATGATACAGATAGGTCATCTTGGTTTTCTTCTCATACTTAAAATTATGCATTGAAAGTTTTCTGAATCTGTTATATTCAGGCACATTCTGATCTCATTCAAACAGCCAAATCCCATAAAATGCTTTCAAATGTGTGGTAGCACCTAGTTGACTGTGACTGTTCTTGAAAAAGTTAAGCAAAGATGCACCTGGTTAATACAGGTAGTCCTTGACTTGTGACCACAATTGAGCCCAACATTTCTGTTGTTAAGCAAGGCATTTGTTAAGTATTTTATGACCTTTCTTGCCATAGTTGTTAAGTGAATCGCTGCAATTGATAAGTTAGTAACACGGTAAAGTGAATCTGGCTTCCCCATTGATTTTACTTGTCAAAAGATTGCAAAATATGACCTTGAGACACAGCAACTGTCATAAGTATGAAACAGTTGCCAAGCATCTGATTTTTGATCACATGATCATGGGGATGCTACAAAGGCTAGAGGTGTGAAAAATTAGAGTGTTATTGCAACTTTGAATGGTCATTAAATAAACTGTTGTAAGTCGAGGGCTACCTCTATGTGGATAAGAAGCCATTGAAAAATCCTAGGTTTGTAGATTCGAGTTGAAAATAAAATCCCAGAGGTAGTTAAGCTCTTTCCATATTGCTGCCATATGGATGTATTGCTGAAATGACCAGAAATTCAGCTTGATGACAAGGAAACTTTTCAGTAGCAAGTAATGAAAAGCATTTATTTAGAGGTTGTGTATGTAATTTTCATAAAGCTATGTCATTCATTCATTTATTCATTCTTGGACTAAATCTTCAGAAAATCCAAGGTTTATAACAACACTGGCAACTTTAAAACTCATGGCCCACAGGCTGGATACATCATGTGCTGGCCCCATCCCACCCAGTTTAGCAAAGGGGGAAAAAGTCCTGATACGTCACATGACATCGCCAAGATGACGTGATTTTGACATCCCCCATGATAGCATAAAAGACAGTACTGAAGAGTTCTGGTGAGCAACTCTATGCTAGTTGGGGACTTCTGGGAGTTGAAGTCCACAAGTCTTAAAGTTGTCAAGGGTAGACACCCTTGGTTATACTATTTAAAGTAGTTTGATAGAGCCAGGTATTTAGGGGATGACTGTCTTACATTCAACATGCCTGTATATAAGTTCAATGTATCAGCCCCTCCTCTACTGGAAATACTGTAAATCTTCCCAGTAGAAGAAGGGCTGATACATTATAGTATATACTAGTCAAGACAGGGAAAAGTTTTTGTTTTTTATGATAGTGGTTGTATTGCAGTTAAAGAATTATCTGCCAGAATTTGCTCACTGGGCATCTTCAGTATGTCTTTTGTATGCCAATTGTTGAGGCTTTATATTATTCCATATTTTCATGCTGCTTCATATTCCTACATTATTCTTGGTTATTTAAGTCACTAATTTTATGAGATATGAAAATGCTGAACATTTATAAATCTTTTTTTTAATCTAGAAAAATTAGAAAAAGCATATGAAATTATTGCAGGTCACAGCAGCATTGCTGTAAAGCTCTCAATAACTACTAGACATAGTGTAAATACTGTATTGACATACAATGAAGCTGCTGGAAGTTGCAATGAATGGTTCCTGGGGCAGAAGAGGCCTTATGTGCACATGCAACAGCTGTTTGGCTTTAAGACCTTGGAGCACTTTGCCAGGATCCATTAATTCCAAAAGACAGAAGGAAGGAATAACAAGTTTAAGGGTATACAAATCATTTAGATCTTTTTCCTGATGGTAAACCATCAGCTGTGGTGTACAGCTTCATTCTTGTTTCAATAAAGATTCTAATCTAGCTAAGCTGTGTCTTAGAGTCTTCTGCTGAGTGCAGACAAGCTAAGTCTTGAAAGTATCAGGGGTGTGATTTACTGTTGATACTAGTTGGGGAGTCTCACATAATGTTCTCCTGGTGTTTACTGGGAAACACAAGCAGGATAATGCTGTTGACCTTGTAAGACCTACTTGGGAGTTTCTATAGCATGTGATTGATAATTTTGGGCCACACAATGCTGGGCTAGAGAGACCTTTCATCTGATTGAATATACTTCTGATGTTTGTGAGCAATTATTTTCAATCCACATGTAAGCAGAAAGCTACACCTAAAATCTCAGCTTTGGGTTTTTCTCCGGGTGTTCTATTTAGCATGGGATACAATCAGGCCAAAGCATTTATTAAGCAGAGTATAGCAGACAAATGGACCTAGTTAGGACCCCAAATTGTATTTATTGTGAATCCAACAAGTACTGTGTCTCCCTTATGACATACCTTATTAAATTCAAAATACCTAAACACTGAAGGACCTTTACTCTGGCACCATGTCATGTCCTCCCCTTAAGATGTTGTCAAATACAGAAAGATTCCTTACCCAGAGAGACAACGCCCCTGCGACTCTGGGCACACAGAAACAACAGAGCATGTGCTCTTCCAGTGCTTGTTTTGCAGAGACATTCATACTAGCTTCATCTCACCATCACTGCATAAATACGTAGAGTGTATGGGGCAATTTTATACCACACTGCTGCTTTCAGCATCTACCTACCTAGCAGTTTGAAGGCTTGCAAATACAAGTAGATTAATAGGTATCACTTTGGTGGTGAACTAACAGAGTTCCATGTATATTTGGCATATAGCCATACTGGCCACATGACCGTGGAAATTGTCTTCAGGCAACGCTAACTCCCTTGGCCAAGAGACAGAGATGAGCATCCTGCCTTAGAGCCAAACACGACTGATAGGGAAACTTTTACCTTTACCTTTTGTTGCATTCAGATACAATGTTTCAAGATACAATGTTTCAATGTTTCATGCAGTATTGCTCAAAATTCATTGGATGATAACCTGTGCTATAAACTAGATTTAATGGGCGCCTAGCGTACTCTGTAACCTGAAAACCACATTTTAAGAATCGCTGTGCTACAACTACAAGATGCATATCCATGTATAGAAGAAAAGTGCTAAACTAATTAATCACAGTAGCCGATCAAGGATCCTCTTCTACATCTCTCAAAGTCTAATGCCAGCAAGTTTTGGCCAACTCTGGTGGGTGACCTTTCAACAATATAATGCAGGAGATAATGTAAGAAAGAATGGAATGTCTCCTTTGCAGGTCATTGGTGACCTGTAGAATCCTCCTCGTGTTTGCTAGCCAGAACCACCAGCACAACTTGCCTATGCCCACTTAGCAGTCAGCTAGCCAAAGTCTGCTCAACACCTCACTTCTGTGGTAGTTTTGCTCTGACCTTCAGAAAATGTTTGCTTGGTTCCATGATGGCTAAGTTTCTGATTCCATATAGCTTATATGAGACTTGGATCATGAGGTGTCATCAGTACTGAATTCCCTCCCTATCCAAGAGATCCAGGAGTCATTGTTGTGTGTTATGAGCTGTCTCTGGATCAGAAATGCGAAGCTGACCCCTGCAAAGAGGGTTTCTGTGAATTAGTGCTTCCCAGGTATTGATATTGAATAAATATCC